TGGCTGAGTGAACTATCTTGTTATGTACAATCTTTGGCTGAGTGAACTATCTTTGGCTGAGTGAACTATCATGTTACGTAGGATCTTTGAATGAGTGAACTATCTTGTTACGTGCAATCTTTGGAGGAAGGAACTATCATGTTACGTACAATCTTTGGAGGAATGAACTATCATGTTACGTACAATCTTTGAAGGAATGAACTATCACGTTACGTACAATCTTTGGAGGAATGAACTATCACGTTACGTACAATCTCTGGAGGAATGAACTATCACGTTACGTACAATCTCTGGAGGAATGAACTATCACGTTACGTACAATCTGTGGAGGAATGAACCATCATGATACGTAGGATCTATGGCGGCGAGCAGGCCTTACCTTAGTGATGGGCGCCTCTATGGTCATGGAGTGGGCCCTCACGACTGACTCTCTTCTCCTGGGAAACGACATCATGCTGCCTGGGAAGGGAACAGGTCATTCATTATTAATCAATATCCCCCCCCCCCCCACCCGCCCGGGCGGTGCCACTGACTGAAGTGTCTTTAGGCCATTCCCAAAAGGGGGAGGGGGGGGGCATTGATATCTCGAGATCTAGAGCACAGTAGAATTGTAAATTGGCTGATCTAACAATGTCATGCTCACAACTGTGCCTGAACTACAACAGGGAACAGCTGCTTTTTCTTTCCTGATCATTACTATCCTCATTTTCCTCTACTTCTTTTGTATGTTTGTCATTCTCTTGTAAACTGCTATTCCCTGGGTGCCTATATAGTAGAAGCAGACTTTGTGCTGTTGAAGCTAGAGAGGTGAGCAGAGTAAGTCTGATTCCCCGTTTGGACTTCTCTGTTGACGCCCACCCCTTGGCGCTCATATGACCTTATGCAGTTGTGAGTGTCGTAAAACCTCTACTAAAACTATTAATCAATGTTAATTCAATACTAATTAATGTCAGTTAATGTTAACATGTTAAAGTTTTACACTTCTATTGACACATTTGAAGTCTTTCAGGTGGTGTTGTGAACGTAGGGTTAACCCCTTCATTGTTTTTAGTTTAGTTTAGTAGAGGTTTTACGGCGCTCGCAACTGCATAAGGTCATATGAGCGCCAGAAGATTAGAGGTGTTACAAGAGAGTAACAAATATAAAAAAGAAGAAGGTGAAAAGAAGATAAGGACGATAGATATTTGATAGGAAAGAAGGGTCAAACCACACCAAAGCACCCGCAAACCACCCACCCTTCACTGATATCAATATGTTTCCCTCAACGTTCGTAGAGCCAGACATTAAAATTAAAAAAAAAAAGTTTATTTAAGAGACACTCAAACAGAACCCATAGTCTTAAGAATAAGTAACTGAAAAGGCGTAATCACACTCTCTTCTTTAAAAAAGTAGAAAAAGTGACAGAGAACCAGCTTTAGTTTAGTTATAGTAAGGTTTTACGGAGGGTGTGGTGGCGGAGCGGTTAGTGCGCTCGTCTCCGAAGCGGAAAGTCCGGGTTCGAGCCTCGGTTCGGACACAGATTTTTTTTGCCCCCTCCTGCCCACCCAGCGGTAATGAGTACCTGACTTGAGTTGGGGAAGTAAAGGCGGCGTGGAAAGGAACTGGCCACCCTACCACAATATGCCGAAGGCCCAGGAAGTTGTCTCACTAACAAGGCAATCTCCAATGTCCGGATCGCATGCGGGAACAACTTTTTAAGGTTTTACAACTCTCGCAACAGCATTAGGCCATATGAGCGCCATCGCCAAGGGGTGGATGTCAACAGAGAAGTCTTTACAGGGAATCAGACTTACTCTACTCACCTCTCTAGCTTCAACAGCACTAAGTCTGCTTCGACTATCGAGGCACCCCGGAAATAGCGGGTCACAAGAGAGTGACAAACATACAAAAGAAGTAGAGGAAAATGACAATAGTAAGGATTAAGAAAGAAAAAGCAGCAGTTCCCTGTTGTAGATCAAGCACAGTTATGAGGGTGACATGAGTCAGCCCATTTACAATTCTACTGTGCTTGAACGAGAAATGTTCCCCCTTTGGGAATGGCCTAAAGACACTACAGTCAGTGGCACTGCCCCGGGCCGTGGGTCACAAGAGAGTGACAAACATACCAAAGAAGTAAGGGAATAATGGTGATAGTAAAGATTCAAATCTTGAAAACCTACAACACAGTTCACCCATGACGGAGTGACCGTAATAACAAGACTAACGGGTACAAGTTCAAAAACACATTAAAACAAACAGACACACAAGCAAATAAAAAATACAATGTATCATTATACTTCAAAGACAGGAATGCATCAGCACCACAAACTGACGAAAGTGTAGTGAAAGAACATAAAGATTCTCATTCTATCTGCAATGATAATTATAATTCTTTATTAAAAACATAAATAATTACACACACACACACACACA